GCTGTCTGCTCTGTGATACAGAGTCCTGATGACTCCTAACTTGTGCTCCAAAGGGTGATGGGAGTCAAACTGCAAATACTGGTCTGTGTGGGTGGGTTTGCGGTACACCTCGGTTTGCAAATGTCCTCTATCCGAGACTGAGACCTCACAGTCCAAGAAAGCCAACCTGCCATTTTTTACATCTTCTCGTGTGAACTTGATGTATTTATCCACAGAGTTGATGTGGTCAGTAAAATGTTGGACTTCCTGAGATTTAATTTTAACCCAGGTGTCGTCAACATACCTGAACCAATGACTTGGTGGTGTCCTTGAAAAGGACGTCAAGGCTCTCTTTTCTACCTCCTCCATGTACAGGTTGGCAACAATAGGAGAAACTGGAGACCCCATAGCACACCCATGTTTCTGCCTATAATATTGCTCCCCATATGTGAAGTAGGTTGACTGCAGGCACAGTGTCAAGAGTTGACACAGTTGTTCTGTAGAAAGCGTGGTCCTGCTGCTCAGAGTGGTGTCTGATTTTAATCTTAAACTGACCACCTCTACTGCATCATCAACAGGAATGCACGTAAAGAGTGATGTGACATCAAAAGAGACCATTGTTTCATCAGTCTCCATAATGACATCCCTCACCTTATCCACAAAGTCCATGGTGTTCTGTATGTGGTGTTCTGAGCTGACAACTAAAGGGATGAGTACAGACGCCAGATATTTGGAAACATTGTAAGTGACAGAGTTAATCATGCTAACAATAGGTCTTAAAGGTACACCTTGTTTGTGGATTTTAGGTAAACCATACAGACTAGGTGTGGCCTCCCCTGGGTACAGTCTGTGGTACAGAAAACGGTCAATAGCCTTGTCCTGCTCTTAATTTTTCAGGAAATCTATTAACTTCTTCTTGTAACCACTTCCTGGATCTCTTTTCAGAGGTTCATAAGTGTTTAAGTCACTAAGGAGTGTCATAACTTTCTCATGATAGTCTTTCTGGTTCAAAATCACATTGCAGTTTGACTCCCATCACCCTTTGTAGCACAAGTTAGGAGTCATCAGGACTCTGTATCACAGAGCAGACAGCGTCCCCACTAGCTCAGGAGCCAGGCAGAAGGAGAAATCCCACACAAGACAGGCTCTAGAGCAATGTGGAGATCCTAACTGGGCCTTCCTGAAAGCAGAGAAGAAACCCAAACAAGACTCCAGTCAGCCATCAGGTGAAAAGGAGGAACCCAGACCCAGACCAGTGGTCATTCCATATGTTGAGGGAGTATCAGAGAAACTGAGATGTTTATTTTCTAAAATAAAGGAGGGTGATCAGTCTTACATCGGGGAAACTAAACAGCCACTGGCCAAAAGGATGGCCCAGCACAGAAGATCAACATCATCAGGCCAGGACTCTGAGGTCTACACTCATCTCCAGGCCAGCGGTCACTCTTTCAGGGATGAAGATGTTCACATCCTGGACAGAGAGGAACGATGGTTTGAGAGAGGAGTAAAGGAGGCCATCTTTGTGAAAAGAAACCGTCCATCATTAAACAGGGGTGGAGCCTCCGGGTTCAACTGTCCCCCTCTTACAATGCTGTGATTGCTAGTATCACTCAGCCCTCTGTGAATAGTAAACAGCCATCAGGTGCTAATGATCCATTGTTAGGCTGATGGTCCTTCTTGAGCATGTGATCAGCTGGTTTTGGTTGTCAGCAGCAAAACTGGTTGATGCACTCTGAGAAGGTGCTATTTAAGAGACTGAGCTGAATACAGCTCCTCAGACTGAGGAAGTCTCTTGGATGAGAGACGAAACATTTCTGTATTTTTTTGCTTTTTGTTTTTTGTTTTTTTGAATGTCCAGAGGACCAGATTGAACTTTTTTGGATTTTTCTACCTGGATTATTGAGCATGCAGCAGGATATTTAGTTGATGATTTCACGTTTTGCAGGTGACACGGTGGCGCAGTTGGTAGCTGTTGCTTCTCAGCAAGCAGGTTACCCTGGTTCAAATCCCGGCCATTGTGGGTGGAGTTTGCATGTTCTCTCTGTGCACGTGTGGGTTTTCTCCAGATCCTCCGGTTTCCTCCCACAGACCAAAAACATGCATGTTAGGCTGATTGGTAACTCTAAATTGTCCCTAGGTGTGAGTGAGAGAGTGAATGGTTGTTTGCCTCGTTTGTCTCTATGTGTCCCTGTGATGGACTGGAGACCTGTCCAGGGTGTCCCCCCGCCTCTCGCACAGTGATTGCTGGACATGGGCACCAGCGACCCCCGAGACCCGAAAAGGAAGAAGCGGGTAAAAAATGTCACGTTTTGCTACTTTTAATTACTGATTTGCTAAAGTTATCTTTAGGTTTTAGCCATTGCAACTCTTATTTTAGCTTTTCTTCTGCTCTTATCTGCTAATTTTAGCCTACATTTAGCTCATTTTAGCCTGTTCTGCTGTTTTAACTTTGAGTTTCATCTTTCCATCAGTTAAACAGAACTCGGTGTTTTCACTGTAAATGTCGGCTCTTATTGAAGATGAAGCAGATGAAACCGTCCTGTCACTGCAGCCCAGCAGAATCATTTCTAGTCCAGAACCACATTCACGGAGCATGCATTTGGAGCGGATACCTTAGCATCACTGTGGTAGACAAAGATGTTCCTTGTGCTGTTGTCTTTCAGGTAGGTGATCTGCAGGCCGCAGGGATTACCGATCTTGGCTGGCTGGAAAGTTGCATTTAGCGTTTCGATTTTCATTGTTGCCTTCGGATCCCTGGCCTTGATGAAGGCAAAACAAAACCTTTTAGATTTCAAAAACTGCTTCTTTCCAAACATCACCTGCGTGATCAGGACAGGAAGCGTCACGTTGCTCACATCCTGCTTGTTGAAGTATTTCAGGGCCCCCTCTCGCTCAGACAGAACAAACTTTCGGCTGAAGAACTGGCCGTTGTCACGTCCTCGTTTCCATAGAAACCCCTCTCTATACCCTGTTTGGAGAAGAGGATGAACAGCCGTCAGATCAGACAGGAACGAAGAGATACTTTAACAGATCCTTGGGTCAAGCTGAAATCAAAGATGGTTTTTAATCTCATTTCCATGAAGAGGAAGAAACAGGACCGAGTGTGAAAAAGCCCAGAATGAGTCAGCACAGAAGCTGTTTGTTCCGTGTGCAGCCTTAAAATCTCCCAGGGTTTCAGTAAACCTGTGTCTGCCTCCTGTCGTCTCTGAAACGCTTCATCTGGAGCTGATGTGCAGGAATCTGTCCACACATCCTCACACAGCACCCTGAAACGTTCTACACAACAACAAAAGGTAATGGCCAGTGGTGCTTGTGTCTATGTTTACTTTGTTTCTTGTAGGAGTGCAACACGAGTTTGACATTTTTAATATTGGTGTGAACGCAGTGGGGCAGTGATACACGGGCGTACGGAGTACAGCC